AACAAAAAGGAAAAAAAATCCCTTCCAAAACCATAAACCTATCAGGTTTATTAGTAACAGATTGCACTTCCATTGTAAAAAGGCAGCTAAGAAACCGAAGGAAATTGTCTTTTTCAGAAGTGCATCCTAGTAGCTAATAGCAATCTTTCCTCAGAGCGGGAACATGACCTCACATACGTGCTAGCTGATTCCTGTCAGATTTAGTGAAGACAAAGGGAGACATTTTATTAAAGGCCAAATGCCAGGAGGCTCCACAGAGCAGCTACGGGGCTCCCGAGGAGGGACAGGTTTGCCCTCTGCTTGCAAAGATTATATCCCAAGGTCTTTTTTCCCCCTTCCACAACAAACACATCTCAAAATGCTTTCAGGCCCAAGAAACAGAAAAAGAAATGCAGGAGCATGTAAGGAGCATCAGCAGCAATGCTGATGTGACAACTAAAGGGCAGAAACAACCCCGGAGAGCCTGGTCCTGCTGGAGGGCACTCACCTGAAACAGCAGCAAAACTGAACGTGCGAGGCAGCAAGAGGCCACAGGAACCCCAGCCCCAGAGGCAGCCACGTGTGCTGATATCACTGTCAAATTTAACCTCACAGACCTTCTGAACACCAGAAAAGCAGCAGAAATATATGTTGATTTAAAGACAAGCTATTGAAAGTTGCACCAGTAAAGAAAGGTTCCATAGAAATAGCTCATTTTCAACTTGCCAGCACCTCTTTCAGACAGATGGGCACCAGGTATCTCTGAACACGCATTGACAGCTCTGCAATTTTTTTATACGTTATGCCTCAGTGCATCCTGGTTTGCAAAACACTAGGGCAATGAAAGCTGGCCAAAGGAACCACATGCTGCAGCCTTTCCCATCTGTACCACACAGGTACCAGGTAACAGAAAAAAAGGCAACTTAACAACTACCCCAGAATAACACTTTATAACCCCAGTTATTCTCTTAAGGCAGCAACTACTTTATCAGAGCAGCACAAAAGGAGGCTTTGACCCTCTGTTGTTCATTCCAACACTCTTTTCTCCTTAAGTCCATGGTTAGCTGTTCTCTTTACAGCATGTTTCTATAGTGACCAACCGCTAAATTGATCCTCAATATATTTCCCTTTCCACTTGCCTTGCTTGAGACTTGGAAACTCAAAATGTTATTTAAACAACATTCCAAAAAACTGAGCCTCGGGCTGTAGTAAGATGCATGGTAGACTACTTCATCACTAACTTCCCCAGCTCTTGAAACAATGCAAAAACAAATAAATGCAGCATTTACAGATGATACCAAAATTCTTCACGGCTGGCTAACAATTACTTGAAAAGCTAAAACATAAAGGACCAGGAAAAAATGAATTACCACTACCTTAGAGAAGTATCAGAGTCCTCCTTTCAGGCAAGTATTTCATTTTTTCAGCAGCTTTTTGGCTGTTTATTGTGCCGTGGTTACATTAACAGCACTTTGCCCCAAGCCCAGCAGAATAATAACCAAGACGCACTTTACACGCAGGTAAAGCACCGTGTTCCCAGAAGGAGACAGGGCAGCACACGTTTATAACAGCTAATATGGCAATGAATCATCCTCCCGAGGTAAAGACTAAAAACATTAAGAGGGGAATATAGCAGGTTGAAATAATAACGATAATAAGTTTAAAAGGGACTCAGCTGGTTCAAGTTTTACATATGCAAATAAACAGTGTGAGAGGGGAAACACAAGGTGAGGCATGTGAAGTAACGAGCAGAAAGATCAGGTGTATCTATCTTCCTGGAGGCTGAGAGAAGGAAGATATTAAACTGTACTTTCTGGTAAATCGCCACTGCCAGTTATTGACAAAGTTGTCAATTACACAGGATCATTTAGACTGATGATACCTGAAGAAATGGGGATTTATAAACACTTGGGACTAAAAGGAGAGATGGGAACGTGCTGCAGATGATGAATGGAGTGGATTGAAAGTAAAAGAGCAAAGAGGCCAGCTTGAAGGGGTACATGTAAATATCCTTAATTAGAGGACTGCAATGAAACCATACACCTACTTTCAAACTTGGATTGGATGAAAGACCAAGAGTGTTCAATGCCATAAGACTGCTTGGTATAGAATTTATTCAGATAACTTCTATTTTCCTAATGTTTAAATAACTTAATTATATAAAAAATGCTCTGGCTGCCCAGATCTGTAAGCAGTAAGACATTAAATGACCTTTAGACCAATTTTCCTGAAAGTGGTCAGACAATACATTAGGAAAAGAGGACAGTGCTTGAGTCAATAGTAGCTGAGTAATCATGTAGTTTAATGTACGTGGATAAAGCAGGAACACAAGTAAAATGAATTTAGCAACTGGCACCACAATGTTTTTAAACTGGTCTAGAAGTAAGACTTAAGTTTTATTTTGAGACAGGGGATGTGAAAAGTGTTTGAAATTCTTGGAAGAAGCCTTCTACAATATCACAAAGCTCTGTTCTATTACAAACATGCTCATGTATAGGGATATTTCCTACCACAATTTTCTCAGTAGAATGAAAGATTACACTGTGGTCATGAAGAGACAGTTGACAGGTTAGGGTTTTAATACAAGATTTGAAAGAGGTAGGCCTAAATCACGGTTTTGGCATTGTCTTGTTTGGTCACACAAGGGGCTTAACTCTTCTGTACCTCACTTGTAATATACAACAGCTCAGCAATTCCTGCCTGCCAGGCATTTCACCAGGATACATGTATCACCAACCAAGATATTATGGGTATAATTGGAAGACTGTGTGGAAAAACACTGATATCAGAGGCACTCAGATATTTGATATGGCAACACGCCAGTGTTATTTATACTACCCTTCTAAAATAATTTTGGCTACTCATATTAAATAAATTCTCTCTTCACAGTACATAGAGGCTGTATTTGCCACACTGCCAGCTAGTCCACTGCTTCAGTCTTCAGTGAGACAGGGCACTACTACTAGGAGAACTTAATTTCCATCCCTCTGCTTTGATTGCTGCCGTGGCTTCCATCTGCTGTGGCTTTTTTTACACAATCACTGAGTCCTCCACTAAGTAATGCCTTGAGCAATAGTGACAAGACAGAGGCAACCAAAAGATTAAACTGGCTTTTGGTGAAGATAATCATTATTGAAGACCAATGTATATCAGAGACTGTACCTGTGTACCCAGCTCCTCCCTCAAACGGGGTCTGAAGTCATGGGAAAGTGCAATACATTTCAATATAGTATATAATACACATAACGTAACACATGGTATAAGCTTACAAAGAAATCTTTATAACAGCTGTTGCAGCATCCATCTCAGAATATAACTTATAAATGCAGGATTCCTCAGTCTTTAGATTGCTTTTTCTACTCATAATAAAAAGAAGTATAGGAAATGAGAGAAAAAAACCCCCATCCATAGGCACTTAGTTCTGGCTTGCTTTGCCTAAATTTTTCTGCAAGGCATGGTACCCCTCTGCTGGGCAAGAGGAGATGAAACAGCAAGGAGCTGTGAATCAGAACTGACTGAAAAGTAAAACAAAACCAGCCTGTCCAGACTGAAAAGGATAAGCAAGGAAAGGCAGAAGGGGCAACGTAACGCTGGCCAAAAGCCTAAGAAAATAAGCAGCCCAGATGCAAACCATTGAGCAAACAGCATTCACGATTCAGACTTAGTTCTCCAAGCACTGCCCAAACAAGAAAATAACATTTTTTGTAACATCTTTAAAATGAGTCACATTGAAGGAGCTGTCATGTTGTCAAGCACTGGTTCTCGTAACTCCAAAAGCAATTGCTGCAATATTTAGGATAAGAGGAAGCAGAAAGAATTTCCCAAAGCAAAAGATTTTTGTCCATGAAAACCTAAGTTAGGAGCTATGAGGCCTGCACTGCATGAAGCTGGTAAAGAAATTTAGCTGTAACTTGTGCATTCATAACATTGTTTTCCAGGAGAAGGTATGATACACTTCAAGCAAACCTTCAGAACAGTTTTTCCTTTTTACTTGAGGCATTACATATATATATATATATTTTAAAATATGACAACCATAGTACAGATAAGATAATTTCAGACATCAGCAATGACGCAGGTGAAAAACCAAACTCCTACCAGACATGTGCAATATCATGTACATTTTTGAGAAATACTAGTTAAATCTTGCACTGACCTCTGAAGCACGATAAGGAGAGAAGTTATGCCTTCTTCTCATTAGCCCTCAGATGGGAGTATAGTTGCCCATTTTGTTTCAGACTTCTTGTTCTGCTCTATGCATGACTCTGCTTGGTTCTCTACGGGTTGGAATACTACTCATTTTTAAACCAAAGAAAGACTGCAAAAAAGCCCTGTTTAAAAATAACATTCTAATAAGCGACTTCTAGAAAACTTTTTTTTTTTTTTGGTTAAAAATATAAATGCAAAAAAAAGCTTGATAATATTTTTTGCCCCTTTTATTAAAAACAGTCATT